GAATTTGCTGTCGAGGTTTAGTTGATTGACCAATTGTTTAGTATAGTTTATACTACCGAAGCTCGAACCGTTGCCTTGTAAGTTGATACTAGAGACTGATTTAGGAAATTGTTTCATTACAACACTTTGAGCCAGTACCGTAGGACGGTAGGTAGGGACATGAACATTGATGTTGACGAACAGTTAGTCGTAGGGTATTTGAGTTGACAATGGTAAGACAGACGTCCTTTCGTCCCAACGGACGATAACGTGACAGACCGAACGGCAGAGCTTAGCGGTACGACTGGTTGTTGTGACTATGTCACCGGCTATGGTGGTTGATGGAACTAAAGTGGAAACGCCAGATGGAGTGACTTCTGTCACTAGGGGAGGAGTCTTTTGATCACGTTGTCGTTATCTGTGCTTCATGGATTCACTGTTAACCACCACTGTTAACATGTTTCATATTCTTTCGTAATTGATAACGTATACAACTTTTACTCCTACATGTTGCTTTCATGTTTGAGTGTTGCTGATGACTGCGCATGCGGTACATGTTGTTGCTTCCTACCCCTCAAATTAATCATAACGCTATCTCTGCAATTACCCCTCAAATTAATCATAACGCTATTTCTGCAATTACCCGTCAAATTAATCATAATGCTATTTCTGCAATTACCCCTCAAATTAATCATAACATTATTTCTGCAATTACCCCTCAAATTAATCATAATTTCAACTATTTTTCTTGTCTCTTGGGAAGTGAGACATCACATTTACGTTCCTGCCCTCCTGATGCACCCTGCCATCGTGACGTTCTTTGTGATGGACGTTAGAAGGCAGTATGCCATCCTCAGAAGAGTCAAAACTTCGGATGCATTCATTCTTCTTTACGATCATAAGCCCACAGGGACTTTAAAAAGTTCAGGGACTTAAAAAAAAAATTGCCCTGAAAGAAGACTGCAATGCATGTTCCTTCGAATCATCCATTGCACCTGTGCCTCCTGTCCTTCTCGAGGAAGGGTCATGGCGACAGTTTAAATTGTCGTTCGTTTCAAATCTAGCGAACTTAGACAACCCACCTGTCCAGGTTCATCACCATGTGATCAAAGCAAAACACCTGTTCAACATCATCCTTACCTTTTCCACATTAATATCCCCTCCTTTGCCTTCCACCACCCGTTGAGCCTGTTCATCTCCCTGCTGCCCTTCCCTATTGGTCTTCTCTCTCTTCATCCATCGTGTCTCTCTCTCGTCTTCAGACTCATCCGACATGTCTTCCACCCGTTGAGCCATCTTATAATTTTTTATTATTATTATTTTTTTTCTATATTCTTCTCTCAACTTCTGTTTTGTTTACCTTCCACTACCTACTCCTAAGACTATCTAGAGGGGACCCCTGCAAGCATAGTTTCCTCTCTCTGTGAAGGGGAGATTTCATGTTGCCCCTTGCCCCTAATGGTTAGGGTATAGGGTTGGGGCCGCCAGTGGGGGTCTGGCTAACACAAAGACCGAGACCTGCCAGTTGCTGTGCCTCCCTTTCTCATCGTCCCCCACCCTTCATCGAGTCGACGTGGTATGCGTACAATTTTTTTTTTCTTTGTTGTATTTTTTTTTTTTCTTTTTCTTTTTTGTTTTTTTCTTTCTTGTATTGTTGGGTGTGTGCTCACCAAAAAAAATAAAATAAAATAAAAATAAATAAATAAAATCCATTTCTTTCTTAATATTAAAAAAAAAACAATCCGGACCTTGAGTTTGGAGAACTTTGGACAATTCGTTGCATCCCACATCGACAAGGGGCCTCAGTCCTCTAGTCACCACATGCACAAAAGACCAAAAAATATGGCGGCGTATCTTTCCATGTTCCACGGGCAGGTTCATTCTCATTTTGCACACTCGGGGTACTTTGCTTTTCATCTCTTCTTTTCTGCTTTTTCTTCTTCTTCTTCTTCTTCGTCTTCTTCTTCTTCTTCTTCTTCTTCTTCTTCCAGGTTCATTCTCATTTTGCACACTCGGGGTACTTCGCTTTTCATCTCTTCTTCTTCTTCTTCTTCTTCTTCTTCTTCTTCTTCTTCCACAATCATCTCCGTCTATTGTCCTTTCAAAATGATGCATGTAGGGCCATATTGTGCTTGCGCAAGGCTCTGTTATGGGCCTCGCTCCACTACTCACCAAATGTGCAAAAGGAGAGTGCGTGAATCTTCTGCCAGAACGTGGAAAAATACACCGCCATGACCTTTGTCTTTTGTGCATGTCGAGGGTAGTGGAGCCAGGCCCTACGTTGCAATGGGATTGTTGGGCCTCGCTCCACTACTCTCCACATGCAGAAACTACAAAAATATGGCGGTGTATCTTTCCATGTTCTACGGAAAGATTCATTCTCGGTTTGCACGTTGGCGAGTAGTGGAG